CATTAGCACCTCTAGTAATATATTTACTGAGAAAAATGGTGACGTGTTCAATACTTATTTTACCCGCTGTACATTAATAAAGAAATTTACTTAAACATTTGTCCATTCTTGTTAAACAATTAATTTACAAATAAAATATCATAATCCACCCATTTCTGACAAAATAATGAATTATATTTGAAACAAATATCCTGGTCATTCCAAACAAGACAGTTATGAGAGGAAATTTTATATTTATAAACCAATGTCTAATAAAAAATTAGTTTTTTGTGGAAGTTAGATACATTTACAGGAAGTTTTTCTATTTTGTAGTTAATCTTAACATAAGGTCCATGTGCAGAGATACAGTGCCACATTGAATTTGGATTCTTTAGATATATTATAATCTATTAAACTTCAAACAATGTATGAAAGTCCAAAACTCTGAAACCACCTGAGCAAAATGTATTGATCATCACATTCTTTCTAATGAGCTGAGTTTTTTCCCCCAAATGAAAGCAAAAAACAGGTTTAAAAAATGGTAGCTATAAGGTTTGCATCGGATGAAGTAATAACGTTGATACAGGGCATCCCTGAYGAATCCCACGTTCTATTCAAAATATGTTGGTGGTTCCATGAGGTAATTTCATTGAGCTATTTCTATAAGCATAAAGAGTGCAGAGTGACTTTTAAAAACATTTCTCCAAAACCAAACAAATTTAGGGCTTTCAAAATTAATTCACATTTTATTGAGTCTAATGCTTTTTGAAAATCTAAAAATAGAATAAAACTGTTATTTGATAGTAATTCAGGATAATCTAAGATATAAAGAACCAACCTTAAGATATAAAGAAACAACCTTATGTTATCAATAATATGTCTTACATCCATAAATCCATTCTGAGATTTTTCTATAATGTGACCAACATAAAGTTGGAGGAAAGTTCCAAATCGTGTCTAATGTACAGCTGCCATCTTGGCTCCGTTAATAAATATAGTAATATCCCCTAAGCTAATATGGCGTTAGCGTTAGCTCCAAAGCAAATAGTGTTAGTTCCAGAATTAATTTACAAAATACCACGTTTGATTTTTTTAACTCAAATATTGTGCAGAACAGGTAAACTAATACAAAGTATAACTTTACTGTCACATGTTATAGCTTTTTAGCCTTGACTCTGTGCTTTATTCATTGAAGTATTGACTAGTATCACACGCATCTTCAGAAAATTGACCACTGTAGTACAAGCACAACACCATATTGAAAAAGGCGGGCTGTCAAAATGGAAACAATTTATCATGGCTAGACTTCTGCATAAATTTGCATATAAATATTAGGTTTTCATTGGTCAGCTTCTGCTGTTTAGAAACATGGTTCATTGCAGATGTGTGTATCTTGGCAACATGATTTTGTCTGACATGATGTGTACTGACAAGCATTTCTATTAAATCATAATGAYGGTTGTCAACAGCAAACTGAGTTTCATTAAAGTGTTGACCTAAATGTAAYATGTCATGGTTACCACATTCAGTTTTACCAGACTGCCCTCACCCCAAACAATTAGCTGCTCTCTCCAACCAAGAAAAAACATGGCGCCTTTAGTCAGTACACCTTATTAGTTTAGTCTTAACTTCAACCCATCATCATCATCCCCAGAATGCATTGTCAATGACAACGTGCTTAAGTCAAAAACGTAACAAACATACATTTTTTTAAGTAATAAGGAGTTTTAACGTGTCACCAACAACTTTTAGTAAAATAGAGAAATAACATATTAAGGCCAAAAACGATAGCTTTACCAACCAAATTTAAACGTACTGTAGATTGTTTCTAGAGACCAAAATTCAACTTGCCCAAAATATTTTATTTTGAATATCACCATTTTATGCAGAAACAACTCTCCTGTTTTTTGACCCTCCAGCAGTCTGCATAAAAAAGAGACAAAGATTTTATTTCAGTAAATAACAACTTATTTCTGTGTAATAAATGTGATGTTATAAATAAATAACCCCCCACTGTCCCTTCATGTTTGGTATATATTTTAATTTTCTCTGTGAGCTTGTAATGTTACTTAAACTCATGCAAAGATGATAAATAACATGTTTCATGAGTGCATTTATGTAAGAGTTATGTTTGTGTTTCAGAGCTACAGGTGTTCTGATATCTTTAAGCCTCTGTTGAGCAAATCAACTCACAGAAGGTCACTATTCTGCCACCCTCTAGGGATTAAATCTCACAAACATGTATTTACTCCCAGCCTAGGTTAGTACCTCCTCAAGCCCACTCAYAAATGAAATGGACTTTAAATAACTATATTTGCCTGCTATGTTTTTGCTGGTTACAGGTCACTTCTTTCAAAGATATTTAAATACAATAAATAAAGATAGTAGCCATTCTGCTCAGAGTTTTAAACAATTCTCATTTAAACTGTGAGCACTCAGAAAAYGACTCTCAGCTACGACCACACCAAATCTTAGCTCAATATCTGCAAAACGGGCAGTGTTATGGCCATTTATGTGTTTGCCAAGGCTGATTAGCTGTGCATCTTAAATCAGGTTGTAGATATAGGTCCAACTATTTTTGTCTAAAAGCTTCATTAAAATCTGTCCAGGAAGTAGGATATATGAGTCAGACAAAAACACACACAGACACAATTACATGATCACATAACTTGTAGGGCCACAGATAATAACCTGATAACAATCTAAAAACCTGAAAGTTTCTCCTTCCAAG